GATCAGTCCTTGATTGCAGGCCTCAGGGAAATACCCGGCTTTCATGATTAGGTTGAAGAGTTTGATCAGGGCTTGCTGCAACTTCAAGCTGCTGTGTCACAGCATCCCTTTGTTGACTCCTTCTTGGCTACAGACCTTGAGTGGTCTGAGGGCCCGGGGTTTGCCAAGTAGCTTCTGCTCAGTGATTGGGGAGATCAAGGGGTTTTGGTTGTCAATAATAGCAGATGCCAAAATGTTGTGTTTTTCATACGTAATATTTTGGTCAGATTTATTGGTATTTAGGAGCATTTGGTAAAGAGTTTTAAGTTATGTATGCCAGATTGTTCCATTTTGGATGACCTGTATGACCAGAGGTCATACTGTAGCTTGTCCAACAAAGTGTTTCCCTGGATTTACTGCAATCCCTTCCTACACTGTGTCATCGTAACTACGAAGCTGCTCAGCTGCTTGTACTTCCTGGTCTGATTACAATAGCTAGGAAAACAATTACCAACAACCTGAGGGAATTTGGGGTTACAGTTACTAGTACCCCTTGACTGTAATTATGCATGATATGAATAGTCTCTATTTATTCAGTTCTTTTTTACCTAGCAGGTGAGGAATTAATTGTCAGGAATGAAACCTCATTTGCAGGTTTCTTTTGATCTTTCCATGACATTTGTTTATTTTAACTATCTCTAATGTTCTATCATCATTAAAAAAATTCAATCAGTTCAGTTTTCTCTGGTTTGTTTACAGTGAATCCAGTTTCAAACAGGCAATAGAAGACCCATAGCACTTTTTGTGTTAGAATACATGTACATATAGTTGTATACTTGAATATAATTGCCTATTTCGATACTCAGGATTACCTTGTCTGGTTGCATTAATCCTCAAGCTGTCTGGAGCTACCTCTCTACTGAGGCCAGGCAGGTCTTTAGCCAGGCGAAAGTCAAGCTATGAGAATGAAAACAGATTATTTTTAAAACCTAATCAAGAGTGGTTTAACCTTTACTTTATGTATTTAAAAAAGGCAATTGAGCCTATAAATTAGTGACTAATCTATAGGCTCCAAAATGTAACATGTTGTTTATCAGGTTCAAAAGCATTGCAGAATTTAATATCTTTATCATGACGTATAGCATGAAATGTAGATATTCTCACTTTAGAATTACATCACTGACACTGGGGACAGAATGTAGAAATACACCTGGATTTAAGTCTTTCCCTGCAGATGTCAAAACTCATTATGTTTCATGAAGAGTTCAGTTCCACTGATATGGGGATTTTGTCAGGAGCATGAAAATGTGTGGTAAATAAGTGTATTTAATCAATAAAAGATGTGTTTTCTCAGAATTGTTTAAAGCACAAGAGCCCTTTGATTTGAATGCAGCACTCCACTTCAAAGCCTACTGTTTAGCAGAAGAGAAAGAATTTAAATGCAATTAAGAAAGGCCATGGAGAAATGACTAATGTTTACTATTGAGTATTTCAGACGTCGTGTCCATTTGATAGTTTCAAAGGAATAGCTTGTGTTCTATTACAAGTTCTTGTCAGAGCTAAATGTGGGGTGGTTTTTAAATGCCTTCAAGGAGTTTTTTGTGCTTTTAATAAGCACAAAAGAACTATTTGATTTAATATTTTTCCTAAATCGTCTGTCTTTTCCTTGGCCTTGGTCTATGTTTAAAGGCAATGAATGTAGCTATTCTGAATTTACTTTTGCAATTCAGGGGCACAGATGTCCCGCTAGGTGTGGAGATAGAAATTCCAACCACATACTGTACACAAAGCTTTGGGTGTTAGTAATTTATATCTATTTGAGGACAAAACTACATACAGAAAAAAAAAAACTTCAAGTAAAGTTTATAAACACAGTGCCCTTCTCATGTTCACAACATTTCTGAATTTCTATGCTGTTATCATAAATTTCCATTCCGTAGAAATGGGGGCATCATTAGGAAATACTTTTTTGAAAAGCCTGAGCTGATTTAAAAAATGAAGCCAGCTAGAAATAAGAAAATATTCCAGCTGCTTAACTAATGGAGGGAGAATGGTGTAAACCAACACACAAAATAAAATCGAAATTCCAACTCAGGTGCCACTCTGCTACACTGAATCGGTCAACAGAGCGAAG